ACATGATTACCGCAAACCACAGCTTAACTCCGCATAGAGTAGAGTCAGGCCATGAGTTCTTGTAGTGACGAGCGATTAGAATAGCAATACTCACGCATCCCAACCATCCGATTATCATAAATAAACCTAAAATCATAAGACTGTGAGTATTGTTTGAATAACATATAATTGGTAATAAATATACCATGAAGTTTAATGAGTATATCAATGGGTTCTCCTTTAAGAATACCATTCTTCTGAAGGTTTACAGAAGTAGAGGAAGCCTTCTTCTGTGTGTGGAAATCAATGTTTTTTCCGTCTGTTTTGTAATCGAAGTTTCAATAAATAAAACTTATNTGAAGTTTAATGAGTATATCAATGGGTTCTCCTTTAAGAATACCATTCTTCTGAAGGTTTACAGAAGTAGAGGAAGCCTTCTTCTGTGTGTGGAAATCAATGTTTTTTCCGTCTGTTTTGTAATCGAAGTTTCAATAAATAAAACTTATATTTAATCAATTTAAACGTTCAATTACCTGGTTTAAGTGGTCCATAAGCCAGCAATAAATGGTATGAACTGTTTAGTAAATCAAATTCACTCTTTTTGATGGTAAACACAGGCACTCGACTCCATCTACAGTAGACAATGCCGTCGTTAAATGAATGGCCCAACTCTTTAATACTGGTGTCGGTGTCTATATTTTCGGTGCCGTCGTGTCCGTCAGTCCATCCATAGGCCAGTCGTGGAGTTCCGCTCGCATCGAGTATGCATTCCGTGACAGTGTCTGAACCCATCTTGTTATCATTGGACAGCGCGAGAGCCACATACCGGTCACCGGAAGTGGTGTCCCGATTCCAGTACAACTCGAACTCAACGGTTCCCAACACTCCCGTTGACTCGCTATTCGCGAAACTACTGTATAAAACGGTGCAGTCGTTGGTGTCGATGCAATCTTCCTCTCCCTTAATACCGAAACACAGTCTCTCATTGTCTGCACATCTCTTGTATGCGGCCAACAAAGGGGATGGCATTTGAGTAGTGGGTCCCGAGGGCTCACTCGTAATACTTTTGTCCGTTTGTAGATTTATTGACGTTTTGCTCACATAATATTTTGAATGAAAATCTTTTTCACCTGTAATCACGTTTTCAGTTTAAATATTACTTTTAAGACAATTCTATTTGAAAATTAATTTTTATGACAAATAATTATATAAATTATACCGGTATATAACAATCTTTATAATAATAATATACTAAATATATGAAATAATATAATATAAATTAGTTTTGTTATTAAGTTATATTTTAGATTTTCATATAACCTGTGATTTGATTCTTAAGGTTGCCTTTGGCTAAAAGGATGTAATAGTTTTTGCTTAAGTCAAACAATATATCCTTAACAGTTGTCTTAGCAATTCGTGTCCATTTGCAGTTAATAAGCCCGCCCTCCACTATCACATTA